GGGGGGGGGCATGCAAACAACTCACATCAAGTACAAGAGTCTGGCCATCTTGTTTGTCCCATCTTCCTCCAAACTTACCTATCCTCTCTAAATCCTAGCTCAGGGGTAGCTACAGCCTCCTGGGGGACCTGTCACAACACAACCAACAGAGTAACTCATCACCACCAGAGTAACTGTCCCTCTCCCTACAGGAATCACCGTGCGAACAGTGGACACATACCAAAGAACTGTCCCAGCACACAGTTTTAGGGCCCTGTTGCCCCTCTTTACCCATATATTGCCAAGGTTTCAGGTGTGTATTTGAAAGTCCCAGCAATGCATGGTTCTAGGGTTCATGGACGGGGCAACACTGCAAAGGCTCTTTAAAGGTCAACATGGCCTGCGTTTTCATTTAGAATCCTGAAAGCACCGTGGCCCAGTCTGTGCTCAGCATGGCGCAGGGCCACTCTGTGTTTCCCTCGTGGGTTTACAGAGCAGTGTCTGGCCGGACAGCAAAGAGGAAGAGATGTGTGCTGCAGGAGCAAGCACACATACAAACGGCTCCAATAGAAAGCTCTCAAAATCTGTGGGCAAAGGAGAAATGCCCAAGTAAGGCATGGCCTTGGGTCTCTCTGGGAACCTACTAAAGCAGCCGGGGGGCAAACATGGTGCTTCTGGTGCTGATTAACTGTCAATCCAGAGACTGGAGATGGGGAAGGATCAGGAAGAAATAACAGCAACAGGCACCCATCAGGTAGACAAATTGGATCCAGCTACCAAGTGGAGAAAGCAGAGGCAGGGATGAAGGCAAGGCGCCAACGGATCCGTTTTCTGTTGAAGGGTCAGAGCCAGGGGCTTGTTTTGAAGTCTTTCCCTCAGGAGGCAAGCTGGATAGAGGGCATCCCTCAGGGTACTCTCTGGCACTTCCCGAGGGATGGAAGTGCCCTGGACACATGAGGAAACACGCACAAAATAAAGACAGAGCAGCGGCGCCTACCCCAGCAGGGGCAGCAGGTGCAAGGGCTGGCATCCAAACACCCACGTGTAAACAGAAGCTCGCTCCTGGGAGTGAAATTCCCCCATCGAAATCGTTCTTTGCCAAAGTCTGTCTGCCTTGTTTGCAGGACCCAGAGCCTGCCAGCCTGCCAGGTTTCCAGATGAACTAGGCTCAGACCTCTAGGGCAGCAGAAGGCTCCGGGAGGCGAGGGAAAAGCTTGAACGTGAGAAACACGAGTGTGTGTGCACATCCGGCGCCCCCCCCAGTCCTGTCCTCTGCCTCTGCCAGCTCAGCCTTGGGAGAGCGCCCCTCACCTTCCTTTCCTCTTGGCCCCTTCCCTAGCCTGGGCGCCACCGCTAGATGCAGCTTTAGCCCCCAGGCCCATCCTCCGTGGTCTGTCCGCTGCCCCCAATCCTCCCCCTGGGCCTGGGAGTGGAGCTACGGGAGGAAAGGGCCTTCACTCAACCAGCGTCCGCCGGCCGCTGCAGGAAGGCGCGGCCCAAGAGGGGTTCTGGAGGCCCAGGGCTTAGCCTCCACTGCAGTGAACAGACCCCCTACTCCTGCCCTTCTTCCCAGGGCGACACCTACTCCTGGAGGGAAGTGACAGGGTCTTGGACCCCTGGGCCTGGGAATGAGGACTGCTGTCGGCTCCAGCAGCCACCCCAACCTGCCCCCCCACCCACCCCCATCGCCCCGGATTTCCCGCGACATTCCCACCCCTCCAGCGAACCACGCACAGCTGGGCTGGGGCAGGGCTGGGTGGGTGCAACCTCCCCAGTCCCAGCTTGTCCCGCAGCCTGAAGGAACAAAACGTCCACAGCTGGGGCTGCGCGGGCATCTCGCCCTGGGCCCTCCCAGTGGCCAGCTGAGCGGGACTGCCCAGACGCGCTCTCTGGTGCACACTCAAACGTTCACTGGCACTCACACCCTGAGGCGGACGCGACCCCGCCAGCCTGCCAGCCGCCAGCCTGGAGCCACAAGCACACGTGGACACGTGCGCAGCGCGCCCCCACACCGTTAGCGAGCTGCACACGCCCGCGCGTGCAGCCCGCGCACACACGTGGGCCCTGGAGACGCGGAGGGTCCCTGTTGCAAGCAGGAGCTGACAGGCAGTCCCCTAGGCGTCTGCGGCCCCCACCACGCCGCGGTCGATCCCTGGGCTGAGACGGTTCCGCGCCCGCGCCCCCCAAGCCGCGGCGCGCACGCGGGGCCTCGTGGGCCGCCCAAGTTTCCCGGGCGCCAGTACCTTGGATGTGCTGCTTGATCACATTCTCCAGGTGGTCCAGCCGCTCCATGATCTTCAGCGTGTCCCCTTTATCGTCCTCCACCTTCTTGTCGGGCGCCGGCTCCTGCCCCCGCACATACACGCTGGCGATGTAGTTGGTGACCCAGCCCACGTACAGCAGGCAGATGATGTTGGTCATGCCGCTCAGGATCACGCAAGTGGACACCAAAGTTTTGGTCTTCCTGGTGCACACCATTCTGGGCTCCCTCCTCCATAGAGCGCTCCCGGGGGCCCCTGCTCGCCGTGCGTCCCGGACGACTCCGCGCTCACACACCCCACTAGGACACCCCGGGCCGCTGGGCTATGGAGCACCTGAGTCCCGAGGTTCTCCCAAGTCCAGAGCCCTGGCTGTGGGGCCGCTGTGCCCAAGTTTGCCGCTCTCGCCGCTGCCCACTGGAGAGAGAGCTCGACAAAGGAAACGAGGTGGGTTTGGGTTTGGGGGGTTGCTTTTTCCCCCCAAATTAAAAATCTCCAAGCTCTTTCCAGAGAGGTCACGGCCGGCCGGCAGCCGCACGCCTCGATCCGCGCGTCTGGGAAACTTTGTCACTGCCCGGGGCCGCGGCCGTGCCGCTCCCCATCGCCCGGCGCCGGTGGCCTCGCCGGTGCGACCGGCCCGCGCTGCGAGAAGGACGGCGGTGGCGGCCGCGGCGGCGGGGAGAGCCGCGGAGCAGAGCGGCCCGGCCCCCTCCGAGCGACAAGCGCCACCGCCAATCGCGCTCCGGCACTGGAGAGGGGCCGGTGCTGGGCCGCCGCGGACCAACAGGGAGGGCGCGAAGGGCGGAGTCCGACCCCCAGGCCCCACCCGCCGGCCGCCCCTGGCTCCCTCCCCGCAGGGACGCCTCTGAGCCTCCACCCGCGCCGCTGCCCCAGGCCGGAGGCACCCGGGAAGAAGGTGCCGCCAGCCCAGCCTCCGGGTCTGGAGATTCCGCCTCTAGAGGATTCCGTTTCTGGCTCTTGCGCAGGAATCTCTGGCCTTTGGGCGGCAGGGGCTTCAGGGCTCCTCACCCACCCTGGGCGTGGGGCCTCTCGCGCTGATCCCACCCGCGGACACCTCAACCTTTATTTGGCTGCCAAGACGCAAAGAGTGACTCGGGGCTCGTGGGCCAGGCAGGCCCTGCAGCTCACTCCAGCCGCCACCGTGCCGGCCCGCCTACACCCACCACACACCGGCCTCCTGAACCTCTCCCACCTGGAACCAGGAAGGGAGTGAGCCTCCCTGGGAATCTCCCAGAGGACGCACTGGGCTCCTGGCTAGGAGATGTATGTCTCGGGGCCAGCCACCAGCAGCAGCAGCTCACGCTGCAAAGCTTTTGTCTCCATCTGGATTTTCTTTTTTAAGTCGATTTTCTTCCTGTGGTTCCAGGCTTCTCCCAGTACCTGGGAGAAGCTGTATAGAAAGGTCCCTGGGGGAGGCGTTCAACCCTCTGTGAATGGAAAATCCCCTCTACCTGCTATTTATGCTATTAGGGAGAGCAGCCGGCGAGAACGGTGACTGACAGCTTCGGACCACCCCCAGACTCGGGCAGTGACACTGTTTTGTTATGAGAGCAAGTGTTTATTCATATCGCTGCCTTCTGCTGAACACCCACTTCTCAGCACCTGAACAGAATTCCTTTAAACACAGACTTTTTTAAACCCAGATTTCCCTCCTCACCTGGGGGGTGGGTGGCGGTGGAGGTGGGCATTTTCCTGGCCTTTGGAGCTAGGGATACCACCTGCTGTGTGCCCAGCTTGTTGTGAACCAGCCAGAGTGGTACTCAGGTGATTTCGCTGGAGTCCAAGAACTGGTCCCACCAAAGGGGGAGGGTCAGAACCAAAAAGGGGGACTTTACGGCCTAATTGGCCCAATCAAGTGCTTTTGCTTACAAACTGCCTCTCCTCAAAGGAGCTGTGAAAACAGTAGAGACCCTGGAAGATTTCACTTTCCTTGGAGGTAAAGGAGGGAAGGGTAGGCAGGATTGGAAGGAGAGAAGGAAAAGATAGTGTGTATGTGTTTGTGTGTGTGGTCTGTGTGTGTGAGAGAGAGAGAGCACACGGGATTTCTGAAAAGATCCCAGGCAGACAGAAGCACACTGCCTGAGTGAGGGAACAGCACCTGCCCCTCCCTTTCCCATGTGGAAGTACAATGTTCAGATCAGCATTGTCTGGCCTTGGGATAGAATTACCAGTCCCGGCTCGAGGACACTAACGGCAAAAGGTCTAAGCGTTCCTTCTGCTCTAGGATTTTTCCAGGAAGGAGCCCTAGGAAGTCAGCTCTTCCCAAGCTCTCTCTAAACCACCAAAGGGCAAGAGGGCAAGGAAGCAAGACTCGTTCTTGACATCCTTAATAGAAAAAGGAAAAAGTTCGAAAATCAAGTTCAAGGAGAAAACAGAGGGGATTGTGTGGCTTTACATGTTTGGTATCAGTTAGTCCTCTAAGATCAGTTGTAACTTTGGACAAATACAAGGAGAAGAAAGTGCAGGCTCCTCCCTCTGAAATGTCAGCGTCAAGGTGACCGGTTCAGCGAATAGGCATTGGCGGTGCAAGCCAGTAGGTGACCCTGAGCAAGTTACAAACTGTCACTGTAGCTAGATGTCCCCTGTGGCGATTGTCCATAATTCCTTGCTGAAACACTGGTTTGAAGCTGCAGGGAGAGAATACTCAAGAAAGGGCTCCCATTAGTTCAGGACGCACAGTGGGGACTCGGGGGAGAGCTCCGCTTTGCTTCCAGGCAGAGCTGGGCTCCAGGAACTCCATCCTGCTGGTTAGTCAGACCTCATTTCTCCTTTAACCAACATCAGGCCCTCTCCCCTAATGGGAACGAACGGGAACTGAAGTTAGAGGCAGCCAGGGGCTCATCTTGGCTAGCGGGGCTCTAGCTCATTGCCTTTCTATTTATTCCTCAGGTCTGTCTTCGCCATCAGTGGTGCAATGATCTGTACAGGTTTCTTTAAAATAAAAAACAAAAATGTAGTCCAGTTAATTCTGGCTCGCGGGGCCCTCACGCGTTACAGAGTAAAGTGTCTTCATAGTTTCCTCGGCTGTAATATTGATGATAGCAGATTCCCAGACTTTTCCAAGCCCATCCCTTAGGTTAATGTTGAAAGCAAATGAATTCTGCCGTCCAAGGACCTTGCATAGATTTGGAGAAAGTTCCACATGGAGGAATGCCTTCAGGGTCTGGTATCAGGGGACCTCCACCGCTAACCAAACCAAGCTCACAGCCTTTGACCCTCAAGACAAAAACTAACAGCCTCTAGGGCAGTGGTTCTCAACCTTCCTCATGCCACGACCCTTTCATACAGTTCCTCATGTGGTGGGGACCCCCAGCCAACAAATTATTTTCGTTGCTACTTCATCATTTTGCTACTGTTATGAATCGGGCAACCCCTGTGAAAGGGTCATTCGACCCCCAAGGGGTCATGACCCACAGGTTGAGAACCACTGCTCTAGTAGGTTTCCCAGGTGGTAAATATTTACGGAAGCAGATTGCTACCTTTTTTTTACTCCCAGGGAGTAGCTGGTGGGTTTGAACCACCGAAATTCTGGCTGGCAGCCGAGCACTTTAAGCAGTGTAGCACCAGGGTTCCTAGGGCTCTTTAAACCAGACCAATCCCACTGCCAGGGAAAGTTGTTTCCAAATCATTCCAACCCCGTATAGGGTTCCTGGGACTGTAAGTCTTTATGGGAGAAGAAAGACTCATCGTTCTCATTGGGAACTGTCGGTGGGTTTAAACCACCAACCTTGTGGTGAGCAGTCCAATGCCTAACACACAGCACCACCAGGGATCCTATGGGTACTCCCAGTGTCCTCAAATTACCCAATATCCTCCAACTCCTTGGATTTAAATAAGGGAGTCAAGAGACTTAGCCATTGCCTCTGGCCAGTCACAGGCCAAAGGAAGTTATGCCCCCTTGTAAACAATACCTGGGTAACAGATAGTTGAGATTTTGGCCCCTAGATCAATTCCATTGCGTCCGACAGTAGTTACTGAGCCCCTGAAGCATTGTCTAAATGACCAGTTGCCCTAAGCCTCAGCCAGGTTACCACAGTCTCATCCTGAGGAGGATCAGGCCAATATGAACTCTTTCCTGAGGCTGGAAAGCTGCTGTGAAGACTATTCTTGGTCCCTGAATCACAAATTGGGTCTTTTAACTAAATTTCTAAGCATTCCTTCACCTGAATTTTTCTAAAGCCAGCCCCAGGGTTCATTGTCAAGAGTTAATCAGAGGACAGACATGGGTAGGCTGAGATCATACTCCAATACAGAGTAGCTCTCTAAACTTTTCCCTACCATTTGAACTTAGCCTTCAGTCTACCCCTGCTACCAGAGGCAAGTATGTACTTCAAAGAACCTCCAAAAAGCACTGGATGCCCCCAATACAACCTTTGGGGTTCACTCATCTTCTTACACATTCTTCTTGATGGCATTTGCGAAGAAGCTAGTTAAGACTCACCCACAAACACAGGCCACATTATCATCCTAACTCTAAGCCTCCACTCAGAGAATTCTGATACCAGAGTTGGAAAAAGCCATAGTTATTCATGGAGGCTAGCCATCAATTGCTGACATATTCTGAGGGGAGTCCCCTGATCTGAGAATTACAAAGGAGTGCGGTCCAATCTTCACGGAGGACAGAAGTCCACTATCAGAGAGGTCTGTCAATGGTCATTTATACCCACCAGATGGCAGCACCATGCAAAGCCTTGGGGTCAGTAGCACTAATTAGTATTTGGAACATTAAAGGGAAGGAAATGGGTGGGGCAGTGGAAAGCCTAGATCCCTGGGTGGAAATGTGTGAGAAGTGGAGTTGCCTGCTTCCTAGTAGAACTGGGATTGTTGGGGCTTCCAGCAGGGTCTGAGACACAGGCTCGAAGGAACAAGAGGTCCGGGCCTGGCTTCTGCCAAGTCACTGGTCTGAGATAACATTGACAGAAAAGATACTCTACTGGGGTAGAAATGTCAACTTAGTGCTTACTTTGTGCCACATCTAGCTGGTGTTGTTCATATGCTCTCCCTTGCACAAATATGGGAGACTGGCAGCCTGGGTATACAGCCGTTTTTTTATTTACTTGCTGTGTGATGTTGTGCAAGTTAGTTTCTGTGCCTTGGTTTCTCCTTCTTTAAAGGGGGACCATAAGAATTCTTGCATCAGATCCCATAAGGATGTTGTGAGAATTTTCATATTCATATATGGAAAGTACTCAGAGTGTACTATGGAAGGAGGGCTGTTATCTTAAATATTGCACGCTCTGAACACCTAGGTATCTGAACAGTGAATGTGAAGACAAGCCACCAAAGAGATGAAACTTGACCTTAGTAGGAGAAGGGTCCTAGAACCTGACTTCTAACGCCTCTTCTTTCATTTCAGGGTTCCGGTGGCATGGGACTGCTAACCTCCAGGTCCGAAGTTCAAAACCACCAGCCACCAGACGGGGTTTTCTACTCTGGTAAAGAGTTACAGTCTCAGAAAATTTCATTCAAAGATCCAAAGCAACTCTTAGCTAAATGTCAGTGCTACCAGAACCTCTCTCCAGGTATCATCCACTAAATACATTGAGTAGCTCCTCTGTGCCGGGCAG